TGTAATCAACATTCGATGCTCAGGGCAGATGTCTGGCGTACCGGCGTTTAGCTCGTGTCTGTTTTCCATGACGCGCCGCACGTTAGCACCACTCTGGATTAAATCCCATCGCGAGAAGTTGCACTCTAGCACTCGCGTCAAACTTCCTGGTATGATTCGTGTGAAAACCAATCAGCACCAGTCGGATACCCGCCCACGGAGTAGTTGCATGCTCTGTTGACGGGGAGAACCTTGTCGGAATGTCAATCTCAATGAGTCTTCCCGTTGGCCCATCTGGAGACAATGCGATTGCGCCTCGAGGATCACGCAGCCAAAGATGTCCTCCTTCCCATTCGAGCAGGGCACTAGAATGTTCTGGAAATTTTACGTTGTTCTGCATGTCCCGATGTGGAGCGCTCAGCACATTGAGCGCAAAGGTAAAGTACGGTAAAGGCACTGAACCTGAAAGAGTGATCCAGTCCATGGATGATGCCGGCGAGTAGGTATTGGGAGACTCCCGCATCGACTTTGTGCATCCCACCAGCGGGCCCCTGGACCATGCACCTGCATGAAAGTGCGCGGCTCCTCCATCCCCATGTGTTCTGGCGGTTGTGGCCATCTTGGTCGACTACTTGCTTGCCGGAATGAGGCGACTCAACTGTAGCAGTTGATTCCAGGAAACACATCCGTTTACCAAACACTCACGGGCCAGCGCCTCATGTGCTCCTCGAGGTGCCGGAATTCCAGCGAGGTCTGCGTAGACGGCGTAAAACTGAGACAGCATGAAAGCACGAAGCAGCATTGCACTCTCACCGTACAACGACCCGCCAAAGAGTGCCTGCTGCTGTCCTGTTAAGGATGTCTGAGAGCTTCCTAGCACAACCCCCTCCTCGGTCGTCAAGTCGATCAACTCTGCCTCGTCATCTTCCTGCGTCAGGTCCACCAACATGATTAGAGCACGCGGTGTGATATGACTATGTGGGTCGCATCGTCGGTCAGACTTCTGAGCAAAAAGGACTCTCAACCACGCACCAGATCAAAGGGCGAAAACGCTCATGCCATTTGGGCACCGGCGAGGGTTTCCAGCGCTTGTTCACAGGCTTCACCGAGAATAACCCCATCCACGTATCTGAAACCACTGACCTGAGAGTGCGAGCATGCAGAGAATGACGTGCGGGCTCCAAGATAGAAAAACCAGCAATTCCCAGCGATCCCATTTCAATTGCCTGCATGAGCCTCCTGTGTATTCGGCACCAGTGGCTACAGCTGCAGCCAACTTCCGCGAACAAGCGAGCACTGAGACACCATCGCCTGCGCTGCTGTGCGAGTACAGGGCATGTCTCCACAATGGCCAAAATGCTCCCATCAAAAATGCCCCCCCTGGCGATGCTATTGACCGCGCCGTGGGGCGTGCTCAATGCGCACCTAGGCTTTTCTCAGCTGCTGTACGAGGTTGCTGCGTCCCAAGCGTTCCTTCCTCACTTCCATGCCCAAGAGCTGCGTGACGCTAGAGGAGCACAAGGATTCCATGTTCTGATACAGACCCCGACCCTCCGCATCCAAAGGTTGAACTGTAACAAGAAGCATACTGTCCCTTCCGGCACGTTGTCCACGATCGGCCTTGTCGGATGAAATCGGCAGAGAGCGACACCTGATTGGCACTTAGAGCCCAGTGCCGTTATGGCGCTGAGCGCTTTCTCCTGCGTCAAACGCGGTCCCGACGGATCTCCGACCAGCTTTTTATGCTTGGAATCCCACTTTGTGGTGAGGAATTCTTCCCCTTCCATCCAGCCCAACTTGATCATGGTCGTCTTCCTTTTCCCGTCGCTGGCAAGCTTGCCAACTCGTGATCACCAGGCAGGAGAAGAGGGCACACCGCATCGGAGGTCCAAGCTGCTCCGGGGTTTCGGCTTTCATCTTTTGCCACGCGTTCTTTGACTTTGCCTGCACCAGGCCGGGAATCACGGAGGCAGGAATACCTGAGCGTAAGCAGCGCCGCTGGAGCGTCACCACCATGTTTCGAAGGTGCTCGAGCTCCCGCTGAGAGGAGTCAGAGCGCCAGCTCTGGTCCCAGGCGTCCGCTTGTTTGCGACGCATGCCACCTGCGCTCCAGTGCTGCCTGTTCCCCTGGTGGCCCTGTGGCCAGACGGTGGCTTCGGCTTCCCATCTCCTTTGCCCTCCGCCTTCCTCCATTTCCACTGCCTGTCATCGACATCTGCCACCTGGCCCACATTGTCGATTTTGAACGCCCTCCGAGAAGGATTCCCAAATGGCACTTTCAAGGGCCTCTGGGAGGGCATCCGTCATGCCATGCCCTCATCGGGCTCATGCCCGCTGTTCAGCGTCGCAGCATCGGGCAGCAGTGTCATGCCGCCTGGGACATGTCACGCTCGAGAGCTTCGGTGCGCTCGAGCCAAATTAAGTAGCAGTTCTGCATGCGGGCGTCCTCGAGCTGCGCGCTATCGGCTGCGCGCCCGTCATCGGTGTACTTCCGTTCCATCGGTGTGCTGAGGAGCGTGCGATAATGTCCCGGGTCGGGGGATTTATTCGGCTTGGGAAGCCACGCCAGTTGCACCACTCACTGTCCAGCCGTCTGGGATTGATGGTGTTGTAGCGCAGAGGTGTCTGCGCGCGACCACGCCCAACAAAACAGCTACCGACTCACCGTCCGTCTTCCATGCCTGTATGGGTGGCTGACCGAAGGGATTTCCGCCTTGATCTCCCGCAGCGCCTCAATCCACCGCGCATCACACAGTAGCTCTGGGTCAAGTGGGCGCAGGGCTGACTTCGGGAACCCAGCACCACCAAACAGCTCAGAGGCATACTTCACGAGCACTTCACACTCGGCTTCGGCTGACAGCAACCAACCATCAGGATCACGAAGCTTCACTCTCTGAACCGACCGTCCGGGACACAACTGCTTAAGTACCTTGAAAAGGGTTTTGGTCTGGCCCGCCTTCGCCGCCTGCTCCGCTTGATCCAGCGTTTCCAGGGTTCGGGCGCGCTTGCGCTCCCTGATGGCCCTCTTCAGCGCTTTGTGCGCTAACAAGGTACGGAGTGAAGGAAGCACCACCCAAGACTTAAGGGACTGCAGCTGCCTACGAAAATTCCAACAGTTTTCTATCTCACCATCCACGGGTCGAAGAGCCGGTCTTCTGACCGGGGGTTCCGCCCCGACAGCCAGGGCCTGCACTGAACGCCGAATGTCGCTAATGGTGGCCTGCCCTGGGTCGAGCTCGCGCAATGCGGGAGCGCGCTGCCGATGTTGTGAGGGCTGTTTTTCCCTAGACCGAGTCCAAGGCATCCATCTCGCCGGCAGGCTGCAAAATATCGGCGCGTGGTCTGCCTTTCGCCAGCCAGCCATCTCGGTGCGTATGGCTGCTACGCTTGGCTATCAGGTCAGCGTTGGCTTGTCGAACCAGCACGTAATCGATCTGAGTGTTCCCACCGGGATGTCTGTTTGTGTAGCATGCTGCCTTCTTTCCCCAGGTGTTAGCAGCACACAGTTTGTGCTTGGACAGGATCTGCATCAGGATTTCCAGATCTTGTTTCCCGGCCTCTCTGTATTGACGGCGCGGAACTCCTTGGCCGCATACCCGCGCCTGAGATCTTAGCGTGATGTTAAGGTCACCGGCAATGACGAGTTCTGAGCGAACCGGTGTGGCACAGAGCCAGCGATCCAATTGGTGCCAGATCGTGGAGCGTTGCCTGAAGATCTTGTCTTCGTCTTGACCTTTCAGGCCCAGAGTATGCTGGTAGACGCAGAGCATATCAAACTGCTGCTTTCCGCCACAGCATCGCAGGTGTATCATGCGTCCGGGGAGGATCTCGCACCATCGGAGATCCTTCAGTGGCAAGACCGAGTCGCGCACTGCTATGAGCACTCCGCCTGAGCCTCGGTTTCCTGAGGCCGTGTGACAGTAATTCCATCCGTCTGCCGTTCATTCGCCTGTGAATGACCAATGCGTCTCCTGCAGCATAAGCAGACTGATATCAGCGTGCTCTGCGAGCCATTTCTTGAGCTCTGCATGCAGAACTTCTGAGAGACCATCCACGTTCCAGGAAACCATAGATATTCTAGGGTTTGCGCTTGAGCTCATGGGTGTGTTTTGTGAGACGAACCAGAAGTCTGCCCCTGTACATCGTCGAGCCGTGCGTCACGGCTCGTCGTACGGCACGCTTGTAAGAGCGTTTCCGGATTCGAGAAAAAGAAGGTGGAGCCTCGCCTGGTTCCCCTCAGGCTTCGCCACCGAAGTGGCTCCAGATCCGGGGAGGGGCCCAAGATCAACCCTCACGCCCGCCGGGATATGATGATGTCTAAGTGGTTGGTCGACACCCGGCGCCCGGACTTGGGAGCGGCCCTCGGCTTGAGCCTGCTGTTGACGCACATGTTCCTCATGATCCTTTGAAAATCTCGCCTGTGTCGGGCCAGATGATGTGGGGTTCGTGGAAAGACCCAAGAATTGCTGCATGCACTGACTCGTATTTACTGAGCACTCCGGATACTCGCTTGCTGCAAAGCTGGAGATGATTTGATAATCACTGTCAGGCAAAATCGCTCTTGCGTCAGCCAGTAGGAACTGTTCCCCCACAATGCTGCACACAAATCACTTATGTAGCGCAACTGCGACGGAGACGCACCTTCGGCAATTGCCTCTTCCAGCACTGTGTCCGTGACTCGAGCTCGAATATGAGCCACGGCTGTCAGCGTGCGAAAGGCCATGGAACCCTCCTAGTCTTGGACCCCTCGTGGCGCTTTACTCGTACTAGTACTACTACTAGTACTACTACTACTACTACTACCACCACTACTACTACTACTACTACTACTACGACGGCTACTGCTACTGCTACTACTGCTACTGCTACCACTACTACTACTACTACTACTACTACTACTACTACTGCCCTGCCCGATTCGATCCGATCGACACCGATCTAGCCGACTCGATTCCCGGCGATCTGATGCGACCC